AGCGCTACTACTGATGGTTAAAGATGTGCTACGTGAATGTTTCTTGTTGTTAGTTGACAATATAAAATTTCGTGCCTTCCTTGTTGTTGTTGTCTCTTGTGTTGTTGCACGCTTTAGAAAATTTTTACATTAAAAGTTTCAATTTGGCAGCTGGGGGAAGCTTTGGATTTTCGGTTCGTTGGGTTTTTGTTTCACTACCAAAAAGTAAAGTATCTGTATGTATACACAATGCTGTTGAAGATTGCATATTGAATATGGGGGATGGTGGTATGAATAGTAGGTAGTAGGGGTTGTGATTCTGATGCTGATGCTGATGTTGGTGGTGGTAGTGGTAATGGTTATGGTAGTGGTAGTGGTAGTGGTAGTGGTAGTGAAAATTAAATTCGTCAGTGAATCTGTAGTGGAAGTTAAACTAAAAGTGAAAGTATTACGTTTTTGAAGAAAGTTTATGTAATCGTTTCAGGGATCCTTTAAAATAGAAAATGTATATATTTAAAACTTTTTTGTTTATTTTCGTATTGTTGTTGTTGTTGTTGTTGTTGTTGTTGTTGTTCTATACATACTGTTGTTTTATTTTTGAAGTAGTTGTAGTTGTATTATATAGAGCACTGTAACTATATACACTACTTTACATAAAAGAATTTATGTTACTGTTGTAAAATGAATTAATATTTATCAGTTAATGGATGTACGGTAATTTAAAAATTTAAAAGAAAACTATAAATATTTTAAATTTGAAATTATTTATTTGAGATTTTTATTAGCTCTTATCAAAAACACTTAATAAAGAGAATCTGAACACTAGATGATTTAATTTATTGCTATAAACTATATATATAATTTAAATTTATATTATTTATTAGAGTTTTTTATTAGCTTTTAGGAAAAATGTTTAATAATAAGAATCTAAACACTAGATGATTTAAATTTGTTTTTATTGCAAAACAAAATTAATATATTTATTTATATATTTATAAATTCATAGATTTATATATATTATTACTATATACGTAATGCAGTAGAATTATTAATAAAGAGAATCTAAATACTGGATGATTTAAATATTTTTTATTGCAAAAAAAAAAATTTCATTTCAGATATTAGATGCATTAATTTAGACTTATATATTTATATTTATAAATTAATATATACATTTTTAAATTTATATATTTATTTATAAATTTATATATTTATTTAAAAATTTATATATTTATTTACAAATTTATATATTTATTTATAAATTTATATATTTATTTAGACCACTGATGATGAGTATTTAGCAATACTCGAAACAGCTGTATGGTTAGCCAAAAATTCAATTAATTAAAATAATATAAAAAATTAATTTTTGTTGTTGTATTTCACTACTGTTCGAAAAAACCTCTTTATATTTATTTATAAATTTATATATTTATAGATTTATATATATTATTACTATAAACATAATGCAGTGAAAATTATTCTAAATAGCATGTCTCCATAACGGACAACGCTTTTGGGTTTATGTTTTCTAAAACTAAAATCTGTTTTTATCATTATTTTCACAAATTTACCTTTAATTTTGGGCCTACAAGTTTTTTCCTCCTAAAAAAAGAAAAAAAAACTGACTGATGAGTGCCCGCTCAGAAGAGCTTTTACTGTAATTCTGTTTGACCTAATAAAATAGAATTTATATATTATATATTGACTATATTGCAATCCTTTTCAAATTATTTAAAAAATAAGTATGTAATAAGGATATATAGTCACACTACCATAACTCAAAATACCAGTTTGCAAAGAAAACATCCGACTTATGAAGACATCGACTTCTTCCTTGTTTCGTTTCAGAAGAGTAGTAGAAGAGTGTTCTACCAAAAATCAATGCGAAAACTCAAACAAATTTAATAACTCATAGAAAAAATGTATAATTTGTATGGAATATATTATCATATTCTCTAGATTTAATATCTTTGGATTATGTGCCTTAGGCAAATCCTCCACTTTGAATGAGGACGTGAAAAAGGATTTGGATTAGTGTTTGACAGCATAGGTGAGAAGTATGATAAGCGTGGAATTATTTTACTGCCAAAATAACAGCAAAATGAGTTGGAATAAAATGGAGAATATATAATTCAACAAGATAATGATGATATGACACACTATAAGGAACATGTTATATAGACAGTCATGCTCACATCAAATGTGAAATTTGTATATTTATAAAAATTATAAAAATTATATGAAAATATTAAATTTTTATTATTATAAAAATTATAAAAATAACAATTATTAATAATATAAAATATTTATTTTATAATTTTTATTATTAATATTTTTTTTTTTCGAGAACTGTGAGAGAGTAATTTCGATTAAAAGTTGGTCAGTATTGTTCAATAAATATATATCAGAAATTGCGCATTTTTGGAGCAAATATATATATTTTGTGTGGATATGTATATATAATAATAAAAATATATTCACCTTTTGATCCAAGAGAGCGTAAAATATTCGTGGTCATACGTCATATGACAGACGTATGTTTATCATTACCCCAAGAAAACTATTTTTCGGTTAAAATAAATATTTGTTTTTGTGCATAATATATTTATTAACATATTTCCAGCCATTTAAAACAACAACTAGTGAAATCTATATTTTAATAAAAATGTATTATTGATCCTGTTCATACTCACAGTATGTACATTTTAACAAATGTGAGAGCACAGCAGGACATCAACAGTTGGAAATAGAATTTGCAACGTCTAAAAGAAGAGAAGTAGAAAACTGCGCTGCACACCAAAGGGTTTAAGAAATACTAGAAAGGTTTTGATATACTTTTTTATTTTTTATTTGTTGGTCGCATGTCACTTTACGTTGCCGTTCCATTGTGTGTTGTAATGCCAGTAGTAGACAAAGACATTCTAATACTCAAAAGTGAGCACAGAAATGGGTTTGGGCTTGAGTTTGGAAAATTGAAATAAAAACAAAATTATGAGCCAAAAAATGCATTAAACCATGAGAAAATTTAATGTCAAAATTTCAAACAATGGAATCGCAGCAGAAGAAAAGGTTAAATAAGAAAAACTAAATAACTGCGAGTATAAAAAAAAACTTGTTGCCGTAACAATTTAATCCAAAATTACGAATTTACAGTTGACTTAAGGTAAGACAGTCAGTAAAATGACACAAAATATTACAACAAAAGCATGATGTCACGCATAATAAGGGTAATTACACATATACGAATATGCGCAGATAGTTTTGCAGCGCACGGAGTAACTGGTTCCGTAGTATCATGTAAAACGGATGCAAGATACATATATGCGTCGTATCACTAACGTGGATACCAACATTTATCTACAAGATACAAGTATCTAACGCTTAAGTGAAATGTTATTGTATCGTTTTTAGTGGCATTTTTTTTTTCTTTTTTTTTTTGGTAAGACGATAATCAGCTCACTACACGTAGCAATTAGAGTGTAGAATAGAAGAAGAAGAAGACAGTCGAGAGTCATGAAACTTGTGAAATTGTGGTATCAAAACAAAAACTAGAAGAAAAGTTAATAAATTATATCAAAGTGCATGTTAAAATGCATATTGTGAGGTTTCACTTCGCTGCACATGGGAAATAATTTGTATTTTTTTTTTCATTGTTTTGAAATTGTAGATAGTTTACAAAGAAATTCAAAATGTAGGCTACAAAAAATGCACGAATTACAAAATCTTAAATCTTCACTAAATTAATTTTTTTTTTTTTATTTTTCATACATTTTTACATTCCGGACGGAACTTGTATATTAAATTAGTGAACTTTGACGAAAAAAAAAAAACCTTCAAAATATGAAATTATTTTTTAGACACTTGTGCACGAAAAGAATAATAAAAAATAAAAATTTTTTTGGTAAAGTGAACAACCTCTAAATGCATTTTTAATATATGTTAATAATTTACCAAGTACAAATGACACAAATTTTTTATTGCTTTTTATTTTTGGTAAAAATTAAAAAAACCAAGAAAAAATAACTGAAATGTTGCATTATTTCTTGAAAATTCTTCTCTGAAATAAACATGAAACTGTCACGACGACAAACGATTTTCTGTAATAATAAACAAAATTTATTATAAGAATGAAACCATCCATCATAAAGAATGATTAGAGTGATTCCTCATAATTATTAATCATCTTTGAGAAAAACGCTTATACAGATACTAACAACCACATATCGAGCTGAACATTTTTTCAAATATTCAGATATCGTTATAAAATGTTGCAATAAAAAAAAGCTATAGATGCGAGGAAATTTGTTTAATTGTTGACACTTTACAGTATAACCATATTACTCAATTGCCCAGCTCATGACTTGATGAAAGCCATAAATGCAATAAAAAATTTCAATACTATAGACTTCAAGTGCATATACAGTAATCCCCCCTAAAACGCGGTACCCTTATAATGTGTTTTCATATTACACGATTTCAATCCCCCGTATAATACGGGCATTCCCCCATATAACGCGGGTATTTGTACGGTTTATAACTACCTTCGCGTACCTTTGCACGTATGTATACGGGATATAGGAGAATATCCCTGTAACGCATTTTACTATAACGCGGAACCAATCTACTGCGTTATAGGCTGGATTACTGTATGTATTTTGTTGTAGATACTTTACAGTGTTACCATATCACTCAATCACCGAATTCGGCTCATTATTCGAGATCGTGAGCACATCTACTTGGAATATCACAATTTGAAGATATCTTGTATATCAGATAAAAAGATGTGACAAAAATAAATATGGTTAAGCAATGTCACATGATAAAAAAAAAAATACTTATAATAATAATTTTGTTTTTAAACGGGCTATACGTGTACCTGTTTTAAAGTACCCTGAAGATGACTATAAAATATAGTCGAAATATTGATTCAAATAAAAATTTATAAGAAAAAAGTTTTTTGTTGTTGTTTATAATTTCATATAAATTACATATATTGATATTCATTAACAGATACTTACATTACAGTTTCATTTAATAACTTCCAAATTCAGTTAGTGCTTAAAATCCAGAAAATTGAATTCCAAATTCTGCCTGAAAAAGAAATAAAACAGAAAATATAGTTAATTTCCAATTTCTTTTTTTTAAACTTGAATGAAGATTTTATGAAACTTTAATTAAAAGAAAGCAGGGAGGTAGTTTGCAAATTGATAACTCCATTGGTTGGTTAATTGCAGTGATAGACTATCAGATAACTTCCATGCACCTCAATCAGAGATCTTTCTTCCTTTTGCTACCACTTTTCTCGCAAGAACCCCTAAGATAGAAGAATATAAACTAAATCCATTCCGTTAAATTTAGATAATTTAATAGGTCTTTCGACTTTACCGATTAACATTTGATGAAAATAAACTGTCAAAGAAGTACCTTCCTAAAAACCTATTTCCTATGATGGGTATTCAAAGAGAAAATGTTTTATAGTTTCTATTTTCCTGTAGATTTCCACAACTTCTACAGTGAGTATTATGAGGAATGTACAGTTTTTCTGCGTGGGTTCCTATACACCAATGACCAATGACAACTGCAATAAGCCTTGCAATAAGCTCATACAATCTATTTTGATCATTGATATTACTTTTATTAAATAATGGATAAATCTATTATTTGAAAAAACTTCATTAGCTTAGATTTTGTGAACCATTGAATAAAAATAATGAATAATAACTTAATATCGGTGATAGTTCATTATAGATTGTTAAAGCTGATGGCCACTCTCCATTTGTGTTCTTAAACCGCGGTTTAGAAAAGCTTTGAATATTAAAGCCGATATTCAATCTCCATTTGTGTTCTTGGACCGCAGTGACAAAAACTGCCAATTAAACCGTAGGTAAAACAAACGTTTTAATTTCATACTTATCTCGCGCCAAAAATTAACTTTGACTGAATGGCAGGGTTTAATATCCAAAAACGCTCGATTTCATCGGAGCAAGTCTTTCATCGGTCAAACGGCTTTGACCGAAGAATAAGTTAATATATCGCTCAATACCACTCAAAACCTTGTTGAGTCTATGCAGTGGCGTTTGAAGGCTTATCTCAAAGCGTAAGGCGGTCCAATAAAGTATTAAATTTTTGGAGTCTATAATTAGAAGTAGTATTATTTGTAAATCTCGTATCAATGTATACTAACTTTTGATTGCATGTTTCAAGCCCATTTTTCCAAACAACACCAATTAAAGTTGCGTTTGGTGATTAACATACTATTCAGAACAACATAAGCAGAGAGGTGCTTTATACTAACACTACATATATACTTCCATCTTTTTTATGGAAGTAAACAATCTCTAATAAAAACTTCAAACTCGATATCAAGCTTGAGGTACACTTGAGATAGAGTTCGATTTTGGGATTAATAAATTGAATTAAATTGTTAAATTCTTTATAAATTCTTTATACAAAATTGTTAAATTGTTAAATGGGTAAATTCTAAATATATATATATATACCTATTATTAGCTAAAAACTCATAACTCAACTGTGATATGTGATTGTAAGTACAACTCTTATTTTATTCCGTATATTATAAAGACTAATATTAGAAGTAAACAATTTTAATTTGAAATTTAGGACATATCATTTTTATTTCATTTTTATTTGAAATTTGTTGTTTTCATTGCCTGGTTGACAATTTTGACAGAACAAATTTAAAATTACAATTTTGACTGTCAAATACACACCAATGGACAAGCTCTACGCCCCACCCTCTTCGTATAGAAATCCTCAATTGTAATATAAAATGAGAAAAATAGCAAGAGTAAAAAAAAAATTTTATAAAAACAATTTTGCAGGATATCGAATAGCAAACCCACATATAACAAGACACATATATTGGACTTAAGTTTACCGAATTGATGTGCCTTCAGTCAATTGTTTTTGTTGGTTTTGGTATGTTGCAGGGTCTGTGCCTGTGCTGTGCCTGTGCCTGTGCTTTTGCTGCTCGTGAAAATCGCAACATTACAACATGTCTGTTACCTTTTTGACATTTGATTGAGATTTGTTATCGGCAAATTCATCAATGATACATGCGTCAAAGCCAACCAAAAGCCATGCAAGAAACGAGAGTTGCAGACCCAAGTACAACGCAAGTAAAGTTCGTATCCTGAATTTTTATTCATATTTTTGTTCTTTGTTTTTGTTTTTGTTTTTTGCGCAATGAAAAACGCATACTGACCACCGTACCGTTCCCTACGATTTTTTCGATCGAAGCACAATGGTTCGCGTAGTGCAGGTTTTGGTTTTTGACAATTTAGGCCTTACTTGATAGCAACTTTTCATTTTTGCTGCTCTGTTGGTTGACTGTTGACTCATGCAAGCAAGGATGACGATGTGCCGATATGAGTGTGCCGCGACAGAAATACAGTAATGGACGCGTCGAGCAGCTGTTGTACGTAGTAGAATACGCCACCCGTTAACAGATATGGTTAAAATAGCTACCACTGCAGCCAACTACAAAAAAAGGTGAAGGTATGAAAAATGTTGATTTATTTTTTCTTTTTTTTGTTCTCAAATATTTTTTGTAAAGAATTTTATTTTTTATTTTTTGTTTTGCAATATTTTTGAATCTATTTTTTAATTTTGCTGACTCGACTTATAAAAGTAATTGGTAGAGGTATGACGGCACACAGGCCTGACATATATGCGACGCTCTGATAAGCGAACGTGCTCAGCACAACACAGGACCAACCAACCAACTAACCAACTCCGCCAACTTCACCGACCCACATGCATCACCATCACATCACATCACACACGTCTAATGTTTACATTTATATTCTGAATAGGTTACATATTCGCAAGTCAGTTTCAGATTCGGAGTCAGCCCGGCGTTCAAATTCAAATTCGCACCGAATTTATTTTTATTTGACGTATTGTAACATTTCATTTCATTTCAATTTCGTTTGTTTGCTTTTTCCATTCTAATACTTCTGCTTTTTTATCCTGATTTTTGTTTTTAAGAACAATTTTTTTTTTCCACATAATTTTTTTTCCATCCATTTTTTTTTTTGTTTTGGAAAAGCGTTGAGGCAATGAACAGTTGCTTTACTCATTTCGACGTTATGTGTGATTTAGCCTCGTAGTCCTGATGTACATTTACTGCGTCCTGGGAGTACAGGTATTTGGAATTTTTCCTTTTGACGTTTACGAGGATAATTGGAAGTAAGACATGTATGAATGACATTTTTTATCTTTGATATGTAGTTTGAATGAGGATTTAAATTTAATTAACATTACATTTTGCTTTCGTTTTGTAAAAGCCTAAAAAGTAAACTTTCACGAATTCCCGAATTCCTCAAGAATTAAAAATCGCACTAACCGTAAATGAAAAAACAATTCCATTTAAAAATTAGTTATAATTATCACTTTTTCGATAAAAGAATAGTTAGAAAGGTTCGAATGGAAATGAAAAGGCAACAACAATAATTTTAGTTAATTGAAAGTTGACTGATCATATAACACTGTTGCGAGTATTGCCAAATACTCATCATCAGTGGTGTTAGAAAATATTCGAATTTCTTTTTAATTACTTCATAGTCCGAATAGCAATAAAAAGACAACAACAAAAATTTTAGTTAATTTATTGAAGTTTGACTAACCATACAACGCTATTACGAGTATTACCAAATACTCATCATCAGTGGTCTTAGAAAATATTCGAATTTCTTTTTAATTAGTTTATAGTCCGTATATAATTTCTTTGGACTGCAAGTGTCAGACTCAAAACTCGTGTCTGTCAAATTAGAAGCGATGATGAATCGTGTCTTTCCACAAGTAGCCAGGGCTTTTTTTTTGTCACTTTTTTATTTTATTAAGATATCGAAATAGAAGATATATTATTTTAACAAGATAATGTCACAAGCCATAAGACATGTCCTGTTTTAGCTTAGTTGCATGACACTAAGCTCTGTGTGACGTTTTAGTCTTGTGAACAGGTTTCAAATATCATTCAGCGATTTATCACTACAGGTATTTTTTTTTAGAAGTTTATGAAAAATATATTGCTTATGCGAACAATTCCCAAATTTTCGTCACTTTGAAAATCGAACATTCGGAAGTTATGACCTCTAATTAGCTATGAAAATAAGAAGTACTACAAGATATCTCATGAAAAACATTTGAATGATATTGCATTTCATATCTAATGTCAAACAAACCAAACAGAATACATAGTGAAATTGCAATTTCATCGCAATCTCAATTACAAAAGTTACTTTATTTTACTTTACTTACTTGGATATGTTTTTGATCCACTATGAGTAGGATAGCATCTATATAAACACTTTTTTGTATGCTACTTCCTATGGTACTTATTAAGTAATCTATAACTTTTTATAACTTCTTTATCAATCTCAATCTACCGTTCATTTACAGTTATTACCTCACTTAGTCTTTCTGATCGCTCAGTCTGATCTTTGATTACAGTTTTGATCCATTTAATATGATGGTCCAAAAAACTTATATTGCTTTAAAAGTTCATTATTTCTTTCAACTTCGTTTTTTTTTGAAAAAATTGCTGATAATTAATAAATCAATTCAACAATTCAAGAATCGATTCACAAAAATAACTATCAAAACGCGAAAAATCGGAAAAACTATTTAGGCTCAAGTTTTTTAATAATGCCAGAGTAATATAAAAAAATCTCACAAAAATATTTTAAAACTTAATTAGTGTAATATTCACCGACTTGAAATCTAACTTATTACCATATTATAATATAAAATATATAAAAATGTTTTAAAAGTATATTTAGTGGAATTATCACGGGCCTGGAATACTGTATACTATAACATGTACACACAGCCAAAAAGTACAGCAATATATGACGTAATCAAGGATGAGACATGGGACGTTGTATGTCTCTAGTTCCCTCCCAAATTTGTGTTTAAAGTAATATTTTATATCAAAAAGGAAGCCTACTCCGAAATGTGATACATTAATACTGAACGTATATGAAGTGTACATAACCTTATCTAGCATTTGAAACTACATTCCCGGCCTATTGGATACGCACCACTACTCTGAAATGTATAACATAGATGTTAAAAATAAGAAAAGCACACATAGTCGTGTTCAGTTATTGAATTTAGCTTCTTAGCATATGACCCACTTCGTAGTGTGAAACATTTATGGTATAGGTATGGAAAATGTACATAGTCCAGTAATTTAAACCAGATTCCCGGTTTGGTGTACTTATTTTTGACTCAAAAATTCAAAAATACAGATTGTTCGTTTATAAAGAATAATCTATGCTCTTGTATATATTTCTTAAAACCCTATAAATATCGCCAGTACAATATTGAATGAAAGTTATATATTCAAGTCTTTAAGATATTTCTGCTAATGAATCTGGAATGCGTTACAGCTGCTTTATATAAGATATTAAATTTACTATATATAAATAAATACTATATAGAAAGTATACATATATAAGAAATAGTTAAAATTTGGCACTTTAAAGAAAATATTGTAATTAAATTATTCTTTCTGTACACCCTTCTATAGCGGAATGTAATCAATCCATGTGCATCGTATAAACAATAAATTTTTTTAAATTGTTCACAAAACTGAACTGTCAAACAAAAAAGGATGCGGAATCTAAATTAATAGAATGAAAAAATATTTATACATCAAGTCAAAACATTGAAATGAATGTTTGAATTGATCTTTAAGCTCAGGTCTAGCAGTAAGAGCACAATAGAATAAACCCACGTTCGACAAACCCTTTTTACCTCATCAATACAACATCAATACATCTCAGCACATTGTCATAAAATTAAATAGAAACTGGTCCTCCGTATGCACGGGCACAGGCACAGGCACCGGCACAGTCACAGGCACAGACTACGGACTATGGAACTGTAGCCGTCCATCTGTACGAAAACGTACTCGTACGCTTTAAAAGTGCGGAACTGTCAAAATCCGCCGAAGCGCACATCATTGGATTTGTGATTGAAGAGAAATTTACATACATTGACTTCGATTCTTGTTTTGTTAGTCATTATTATTTTTTGTTATTTGCAAAATGCATGTTGGAATGAACAGATATTATTGCATAGAGTTTGAATAGAGATATGTGTGTGAGTTTGTGTGTCTGAAATCCGGAAGCAGTTTAATTCTGATAGACAGTACCAATATGAATTTTTCTTTCGTTGCCACATACCTTACAACTCCACTCAGTCCGGACTTTAAAGCTTCGTTCTCTTTTTTTGCTTCGTTTCAACTGTGAGGGGTTTGTGCAGGAGACCTAGTTGTGCGTTTTGCAATCATAGCTAAAATTTATATTTACGGAATTGTAAGTTATGCACTTGAGTGATTTCCACAGAATAAATGAATGACGATTACATATAGCAAAACATAAATAACTGAAATATATAAAGAAAAAAAGAAGAAACAAAAACAAAAAAAGCGAAAAAAAAATTAAAAAATTAAATCGTTTAAAACCCATCGATTTGAGTATGAGATATTTTGTTCTTCCGATTCATATATTTGGCTTTTCCTTTAATAGTCCGAGTGGTTTTTGGTGAGTCCGATTAAG